ACGTGGTATAGGAGATTGAGCTGGCGTGGCTGAACCACAAATGGATCTAAATTTGATGTTGCTATATCACTTAGCAGCACCTCTGAACTTGTCCTGCTGTTACAGTTGATGGTCAGGATCTGTCGGTCTCTGGTCAGGGCAACCTCCACAAACACACTGGGGAGATGTCAGCAGGTCAATTAGAGATGGTGTGGGAGTAGACGCAGCTTACATGCTGCCTCGCTTACACTTACTCAGGCTGCATTTCCTCAAAAACAGAGGTTATCCTGCTTCCACTGGAGGTGAGATCCAGACGAAACACTGCGCTGGAACGTAGACCTTCCAGAGTCGAGTAAAATAGTATCTCATCTGTGGCCCACTCTTCACACATGCACACAATAATATGCAGTATTTTAAGTTTTACATCAGTGCTCTTACCTGTAACACAACTAAAATGAATTTTTATTGTGCAAAAATTTACCAAAGCTAAAGACTTTCTCCAGGGTTAGTGTCACATGTTGGGGATCCAGAGGTAGGAATCTTCTCCTTTCAAGCCTCACGACCACACACCTGATTCATCACAAAATTAACATCCTCTTTCTAATTCAGTAAGTACAGTAGTTTAAAATGTCTTGTTTGATTTACCTCAGCTCTTCCGTGTGAGTACATTTTAGCGACGCTGCAAGATGCCTTTCCCGTGGGGATAGACGGATTCTCTGGACCGTCCACTGAAATCTTTGCTTTCTCTTATTATTTTCAAGTCCCGTCTTCTCCAACTCTCCAGAGATTTGCCTTAGATTTAACACCTGCTCTGGCTCCAGGTGACCTAAAAACAGAAGAAATAAGTTGGAAAGATTTCTAATGATGGACTGCATAAAAAGTTGCACATGCAGTAACAGGGATAGTAGAAAAAAAAAATTCCCTGTTGAGAAAATAGTCTTCCGCTGCTAAACTTTAGGCTTTCAGAACTGCTAACATGAGCGGTTTAAAGACCCTCATCATGTTCGCTGCTTACTCTGTTTCTTGTCCATTCTGTATATCCCATCTTCTTCAGTAAAATATAAATGGTGATGTCCAGAGACCTTTGACAAGATAAATAACAACAACAGCTGTAAGATTAACATAATTTGAGGCTACCAAATAATCCTTTTCATGATATAAAAACTCAATTGCTGTCAACATGCATCAGGGAGGCAAACAAGTCATATTTATGATCATTATGTTAAACAAATTTGCAATTCTAATTGTTCTCCATCAGTCCCACTAAGGTAATATTCAAAATCATTATAAAATAGACAAATCCAAAACAAAAGGGCATCCTCACCACTGAGTAATCAGGTATATTGGAGAACCTGTGGTATGCATCCTTTAATCTCCTCCTGAAATACTTCTGTAAGTCCCTGTACCTCTCGAGTCCGGAGCTTAGATGGTCAGACGATGATAATGAAGTATCCTAAAATAAAACAGCTTCAAACATTACTGCAATATTCCTCCACCTATTTATTGAAGTGTCACAGTCTTTTTGAGTGAGCAAAGCACTACTGTACTTATAGTGTGAGCAATAGCTAAACATACAAGCGCTATGTTCAGCAAGTCATTGTTAGATAACCTGGCTGCCTAACAATGTCTGTTTTTGTGTAATTCTAAGGATTGACGAGGAGGTGACATGAAAAGTGTTCAATGATAAAACTTAAGTTTCAGGAAACGTGACTGTTTAACTCTGAAGTGAGCAACACACCAGAAGATATGTTTTATTGCTGTAATTGTGTTGATCAAATCTATACTGATTTTTTTTTTTTCATTGTTGGATTTTGTTAAAAATTAGATTCTATGATGTCATTAGTTACAGTTTTCAATTGTATGCAAAAAACCTGACTTTTAAACAGATATTTAAATTTCTTTCAGTAATTTTGGTCTGCTATTTGTTACAAAACTAATTATCCTAATTTGAATAATATTAGAAAAAAAATATTATAAAGCTTAAGCTAAATTTGAGTGAATCACTGTTAAAGTATACTGCTTTTATTTGAACATGACTGGCTACATATACTTTGATAAACCACAAATTATAATGAAGTCACCACAGTGTTTTTTCATCCTTGATTACTTAATGCTTCTGTTTGAAAGAAAATATAATTCAAATTCACAAACAAATTCATTTTAGAGGTGTAATTAAAACACTTTGTGCAGAAACACTCAAAATTAAGATCTATTATGATCACATTCTTGAGTTTATAAATTCCCCAGTGTGATTGGCTGTATTGAAGCAGGTAGATGAGAGCCTGGAGAGGTGGGGGTATGCTTTGGGGAGAAGAGGTCAGCAGAAACAAGACAGAATACATGTATCTGAGTGAGAAAGAGACAGGTGTAACACTGAAGAGAAGATGAGTGAAGGTAGATGAGTTTAAACACTTGGGGTAAACCATCCAAAACGAAAAACAGTCCACACACAAAGATAGGTGAAGGAAAAAGTGAAGGTGTGGTGGAGTTGGTGGGCACGATATATCAAGGGTGATTTGTGACTGAAGGATAGCAGCAAGAGTGAAAGAGAAGGTTTAGTAGATGGTAGCAAGATCTACCTATGATGCATGGTTTGGAGAGGGTGGTACTAGCAAAAGGAAAGGAGGCAGAGCTGAAGATGATAAGATTTCCACTGGGAATGACCAGGATTAACAAGATTAGTAATGAGTACATCTGAGGAACAGCTCAGATTGAGCAGTTTGGAGACAAAGTCAAGGCTGGGATGGTTTGGACATGTGCAGAGGAGAGACAGTAAATATAGTGGTAAAAAGGATGATGAATATGGAGCTGACAGGCAAGGGGAAAAGAGACGATTCCTGGATGTAGAGAAGAAGGACATGCAGAGGGCTGGTGTGACAGGGATAGGGTGAGATGGAGGCCACTGTGGTGACACCTAAAGGGAGCAGCTGACAGTAGACAAAATAGTCCCATATGACTTTATATTTGTCTTGTCAAACCAATAGGCTAATTCCTATTTAAAACAATGATAGTGATGGCAATGTAGGAATGGCTTTTATAAATAAATGGCTGCGTTCATAAATGATCCAATTTGAATCTAAAGTTATTTTAAAATGCTAACCATTTGGATAGAAGAGTTTTGGGCATATTTATATAGTACTCTTGTATAAACACATGCATAACAAAACACATAGGAGGCCTTTGCCAGCACAGTGAGCCAGATTCAGAGTGTCAATTTCAGCACTATGCCCTTATCTGTGTCTCCTTACAAGACTAGTTTTGTCAACCCGGCAGAAAGACACGGTTTTCAATAATGAATGAGTTAGAGTTATCAGCGAGACGGGATACCAGCGTGTAATCCTGCACCAAGCCAAAGGTAAGTAAAAACAGCATCTTTAACGTTGAATGAACTCCTTACCGACGAGCAACAACGCTGAAGGGACCAGGAGAGCCATGTTTTCCGTTTACAAGCGGTTAGCTCCCAGAATTTTACCCGAAATTGCATCGGAACACGAGCAGATAAGAAAAACAAAGGCGATATACACGCCATGACAAATGTTTAACCGTTAATGAGATCAGATGAACAGGTGACAGCGACGTTTGCGTGATTTTAATTAGCTAACGGTTACTATCAGGTACAGTTGGTCACATTTGCGACAGTTAGGGCATTTTAATTGCCGTATAATCCTCGCTGCTTTCTTCTACGTTAATTTTTCAGCTACGCACAACAGCCAGCGAGAACATTTTCAGGCACATGTACGATTTCCTAAACGAATACCCGCTTGATGACGTAGCGAGCAATGCCAGGCAAAACTAATCAAATCCGTTTGTGAGCAGCCCTCGGTTATAATTGTGAAATCGAGCGCGATCGTTTAACATGCCTGGACTTGCAAAAGTGTACGGAAGTAGCATGCATCCTTTGTGGGTGTAACAGGTGATGACAGTGAAGCGGTGTATGTGATCATTTCTGCATCGCTATAGAAAAAAAGCCTTATTTTTTGTATTACCGCACCGCTGTAACTGTGACAGCTGCATAAACAGGATTTAAACAAGTACTTACGGATTTATCTCCTACCAGAAGTACGAAGATAAAATGGACAGGGACTCTTCTGGTGCTGCAGAAAGGACCGAGCCGGCGTCACCTTTGGGGAAAAATATTCACGAAGACACTCTCGCTGCTGATTCCCGCGCCTCCCTGTCAGGGACGTGTACAAATACTGATGTCGCACGAGCCAGGTGGACCCTGCTGAGACAGGTATGCAAGCACAGAACTCTCATGGTTGCACTGCTGTCCCTGAAGGAAGAACAAGGATGATGGGAACCCAGAGTTCCCTGTCACGCTTCCCAGAAACTCTATTGCTTACTTAACTTTTAAAAGGATCATGAACTGCACTGTATTAACTTTCTTGCCCCAAAAGGAGGGGCCAGTTTCTGTACAATCTGATAATCTTAATACTTAATAATAAGTATAATAATAAGTATAATAATATACTTATTACAGTACAGCAGTCTTTTTTCTGCTGATTTGCTTTAACATACAGTATTGCCTGAATTATTGTATAACACATCAGCTTCACAGCTTTGCTGGTAACAGTAGATTTGTTAACACTTGAAAGCCATCTTTTCCCCTCCCCACAACTTCTGAAAACCTTGCACGCACTAGAGCAGTAACTGTTCCCTTACATGGACATCATGCAGCCTTTACATTTGGCTGACAAAAATATCTCCCTCCAGGAGGTGCAAAAAGCCCCAGACTGCTTTTTGGCACTTATTCCTGAACAGTAATAAACTGAAATTGTATGGACTGCATATTGCACAGTACTGTGTTTTCCATATACAGTATGTTGAATGTAGTAGTATAGTAGTAAGCATAATACTTAACCTGATTTTTTGGCTTTTCTTTCTAAAACATTTATGCAACATAATGAATACTTTCACGGATTTACTGTGTACAATAACACATTTGTCACATTGCGTGGAGAGAGCCCATGGAGACACAGGGTGAACATGCAAATTCCACACAAAAACGTCCCAGGACCTTCTTGCTGTTAGGCAAAGTTGCTAACACTTTTACTACTGTACTCAAAAACCAAACTCAATCCTTTGTGTTTTCTTTCTGAAAAAATGTATTAAACATAATAAATACTGTCTT